CAGGCTCTTCCAAGCTTTAAAGGCTGTCACCGGGCCGGGACAGGCGCAAGGACCTGCTGGCTCCCGGCTCGATGGGGCGCAGGGCTCCAGGTGCTCCGCTCCGCGGAGGGCAGCCGTGCCCGGCCCCCAGCCACCTTTCCCACTAGCCGCTTCCCAGCGGCCGGAGGAGACGCATCCCAGGGACTAGCCCGAGGACAGGAGGCTGATGGGGTGGGGACGCAGGGGACACCATGGATCTGGCTGCCCCCAAGGCTCTTGCGGCGTAGGACACGCGGCCCGGAGGGGTGCAAGAAGAGAGGACCGCGGCCGGCGGATGCGCTCTCCCCGCTGTCTCCCCCATGCGCCGTCTCCGCTCCTGCTCCAGGGGCACTGGCATCGCACGTGGGCTTAGAAGCACAACGGGAGCCTGGGTTTCTCCTTGCTTTACCCTGGCTGGCTCTGAGCGAGGGGACCACGCTAGGAGGACGGGGACAGTCTGCTCCTTCTCTCCGGCTGCCCCAGCGGGAGCGTGCCGGCAGTGAGGGAGCTCGGCGAGGTCGGGAGCTTTGCAGCGAGCCCATCTCGGTGCCTCCGTTTCATGCCTTTATCTGGGGGGCTTTGGCGAGCGACATGCAGCCCATCAGCCTGCAGAACCTCTCCATGTAAGCGCTGCTTTTCCCTCTCCCCACCTGCTAGTTTTGTTGCAATTCTTTGCAACACGGGTTTCATCAGTAGTTTATTATTAGTGCAGTTAGATACAGCTATTCATCGCTTGGGGAAAAAACAAACTAACCCCAAACAAAATGCCCTGTTTCTCTCCCTCTCTCTTTTGTTTCCAAATGCAGATGTTTCCAGCTCCTCATGTTTTCCTGTCAGACCCAGGTATGTCAATAATACACTGTGTGTTTTACTAACCCTGTAACAGCGCGAGCCCAGCGTTTGCTGGCTGCCGAGGTCTCGCTTCACTTCGAAGCCGGGTGGTTTGAAGGCGCCAGGTTTGCAACGGCATCAGCCCCTGGACTAACCGCTTGGGGCCGTTTGCATCCTTTTGGACAGCCGGTGGCTTTCCCTGTCGCGGCGGTCCCTCCCCGCGGGGCACCCTGCCTTGGGCACAGCTCTTAAATAAACCGC